GCTTATGCAAATGAAGCCCGGGAAATTCAAATCCCGGGCTTCATTTGCAAGTGCGGTATGCCTACATTACCCCGCTAGTTCGAACTAGGAGGGTAGTGTAGACATACCCAGAGAGACATATCAGCTGCTCCCTTTATCTCAACAGGGTGTTGTCCCTGATTAATTATTATTACAATTTAAAAGTGTTCTGAAAAGGGGAGAAAGGAGGCTGCTTGTTAATCATCTTCAGTGGGGATCTAAGGAAACAATGTTCAGAGAAGAAATAATGACTCCGTATCATAGTAACTGCTGTTCTTTGTGATGATTACCTGCATAGATTCACATTATTATTTGTGTGTTTGCTCATGTGCACTCCATTATGGGTGTGCATGCACCTCATGCATGATTGTCTGAGGATTTTCTCTAATGGTATCTGTTGGGTTGGCTATAGCATCCCCTATGGAGATGCCTCCCAGCATCGCAAATATACCCCTGACAACCCAATTCCTGCTCTGTTTCTTCTTTCCACCAGTGATTGTCTGGAGCTATTGACTTCCTGCTTTGCAAGTAGAGTTAATGCCTAGCATTGTAGACTTCTGTGGTTCTTTGTAGTGTGTATCAGTTTCTGTTGAGTTGCATTAATAGTAGTTAATCTAAGGGGAGTTTCCCCCTCCTACTGTTTGTGTTCCTGGGACATGCAGCAGCCCCAGGGTTTCAATCAGCGTGCAATATATGGAATGTGGAGATCCTCAAACTGCAGGCTTGAAAAGTGACTCAAAAAGGGTCACCTGCAAGATAAGCGTAGTATCTGCAGGAGTTTAAGCCACAGGACCAACGGCTTTAACTATCCTCATAGAGTCGGTACATATGCCTCAGCCAGATACTCTGACACCATTGGTGCACAGCGTGCTGGCTGAGAAATAAGAGGCTTTGGCGCCACACTCAGAAGACTGCAGAGGCCATCGACACCGATTTCTGATGCAGAAAACTGTCTTGTCCTCCCAGCACCTGTCTCCTTTCCCAGTGCCATGGAAGAAGAGTATGATCTGGGGTCAGTCCCCCACCCAGAGTCAGTCTGCACCATACCCAACCTATCAGTGCTCTCCAGTACCAGTGGTGGTGGAAGAAGACTTCAACCGTACCTCAATGCCAGACATGTTTGAGACTCTGCAGGACCTCTTTGAACTTATGGTACCATTCCATTTGAGGTGTGTCTGCCCCCTTTGTCAGCAGCGCCAGCTGCATCAGCTACTGTGACATTGGCAGCACCACCTTCTGCATCTTTGTTTCCGCCACCAGCAGACATGATTCAAGTGGCCCACCTGGCACCTGGTCTGGCAGCCACGGCACTACCTCAGACAACACCTCTGTTTCTGCCACTTGCCCGGCAATGGAGGCATCTTTGGCAGTATGGGAAGCCTGACACCATGAACATCCACACTTGCTCACCTTGGGTATGTCTACACTACAGCACTAATTCGAACTAAGCTAATTTGAATTAGCGCAGCTAGACTTAAAAACTAGTTCGAATTAGCGTTTTGCTAATTCGAACTAGCATGTCCACATTAAGTGGACCCTGAACTGGGGTTAAGGATGGCCGGAAGCAGTGCCGGCAGGACATCAGATGAGGACTTAGAGCGTGGAGCTGCTTCTCAGGCTAGCTGAGGGCTGTGCTTAAAGGGACCCGACCCCCACCCCGGACAGACAATTCTCAGGGGTGCCCCGCTTGCAAAGCAGTCCTGGCTTGGATTGCCCAGAGTACCCACACTGGGCACATCACAACACTCGGCCATCAGCCCGGCTGCACTTGCCGCAGCCTGCCATCTGGGGAGAGGAGGCAATTGGGGGGCTGCAGTAGAGCTTCCACCCCCAGAAGCCCGGAGAGCCAGCCCAGTCCTCCCCATCGGGGGCTCGTACCCCATTCCTCCCTCACCTCCTTCCACTTACCC